TATCCATGGTGGCAGGCACACTCACATTTCACATGCAGCTACTTAGGCAGTGTTAAGCAGCTGAAACGCTGGCATTGCAGCAGGAGCGTAGCACCAAATTTTGGGCCCTGAGCACTGTAGTATGCCAGGGCACCCTCCACCTCGCAAGAAAATAAAGGAAAGGCAAAAAATATAATGTACTTATTATACAGTATTTCTATACACTATAATTATTCCTTGATATCATTGGGGTATTTTGCTAAAACATTTATATGACATCATATAAAGCATGAGATATCAAGATGAGATGTCAAGTTTGCTGTGTGTGAAGATGGAGTTTAAAGTAGGGGGCGCTGGTACACTCATCAACAAGCCTGTCTTTAGCCCATGTATGTAATGTATTTTAACGTGGCTGAAAAGTCCTCCAAAACCTCCAAAGAAGCCTGTAGAGGTGAGCCATCTGTCTGTCTATCCATCCACCTAAAAATAAACAACACCCCTTCTAGAGCGAGCTAGCTTGTTTCTCTTGTGTTATTAATTATACTCTGGACATTAAAAGACTAGACCAGACTAGAAGAATTTGGCGGGTGGGGTTTAGAGAGGGCGTACCCTTATTAGCAGCGGAAGTTGTCCTCATATTCACAAGATCACATCTTGCCCTGGTGCCGAATATTACCACAGTGCACACCCACGAGTTTGTTATTACTTTTTTATAATAGACATTATACAGTATTATAAATAATAACTCTAAGCCTCTATAAAAGCAGTAACAGAACAGGCTATACTAGTGTATAATATAATTACATTTTATAAATCAGAAATTTAGAAGTTTAATAAACCACTTTTAAATAGCAACATACATTGTCCAGTGTTTGGTTTCAGTTGGGCTGATAATGGTGTAATTTGGTGTGGTTTACTGGCAGTTTAGTGTTGGATCAGTTAGACTTGTACAGAGAAATCATGCTTCATTTAAACGCACAGCTTTATGCTAAACTCATGAAGTGATATAACCTTTATTAAATACTCACTAAGCTTTACTTAATTAAATGTGTACCTTGACTCCACAAAACTGAAATATGTAACATCAGCATAGTTACTGACTATACAAACTTAATTAACTCATTTAAATTAAGTTTATTTAACATATTTCATTTGTGAGGAGGTGATGTACACATTTGAATCATGTACATCACATCACACAGAGCTGCAGGCCACCAAACCACACACACTACTGTGAAACAGTACATGATTAAAGTGTTAAAAAGGCTCCACTGTGCTGTTAATTTCTGTTTATGTTTGTACAGAAGTCTCACACAGCTCAGTGGGCAGATGAATGATGGGTCAGTGTTTAATTAGAATAGTGACAGAACCAGAATATCGTTGCTGTCGGAGGAAAACTTTGTGTCTCCAAAACTTTGGAGGAGAAAGAAAAAACAAACTTATCTTTTAATGGAAGTTAATATAACAAGATTTTTGGCCAAGTAATTGTGAACCATTTCTACAGGTTTGTTCACCGTGGAATTTCTCATAAGCAGCTGGAGTTTTCAAATTATGCAACAAAGTAAAAACAACATTTTGTGTCTCTACAGCGACGATATGCTTAATGAAGTATTACAACAACAATCATTATTATCATCATCATATTATAACAAACAAGTAAGTTATAAAGACCATACAGCACGTCGAAATGATAGCATGTCAGCATATGACCGACACATTTTCATCATTTACAAAAGCCAAAAGTCCATTTGAATTTTATGGACTCAAATACCACTTGCTTGATTTTTCATGAACACAGTGGAGCACACCCACCGTCATCCTAAATTTCAAGGAACCCCATTTGTTCTGGTGTTTCCATTATTTTGTCCACCCACATTTCTGTAGTCCCCCCTGTGGGAACCATACGCTGCACAGAAGTGCACACTCATTAGTAAAAGCTGTGACACTCGCCACAAGCCTGAAGTGTTAAAACAGCTACACGTCTGTTCAACTTCCCCTTTATATCTACAGAAGTACTGCCACCACGTGTTTTAGTACAAGAGCTGTACACTTGTGACCATATAGCATGTTAAATGACTCCTAATTTTTGAGTTCAGGTATTTGTCACTCCCAGTGCAAACAAGTATATAAAATCATATATACTCCATAGACAAACACTGCTCGTAGAATGGGTCGTACTGAAGAGCTCAGTGACTTTATATGTGGCACCTTTGCCACAAGTCAGTTTGCGCAATTTCTGTCCTGCTAGATCTGAACTGGTCAACTGTAAGAGCTACTGTGAAAAAAAGAAGTGTCTAGGAACAACAACAGCTCAGCCATGAAGCGATAGACCACACAAACACACACATCCTCTGTCGCATCACTCACTGCAGAGTTCCTGCCTCTAGAAGCAACAATCAGCACAAGAACTGTCTGTCGGGAGCTTTCGGAAATGGGGTTCCATGTGCGCAATGCCAAACATCGGATGGAGGAGTGTAAAGCATGTCACCACTGGACTTGAGGAAACATGTTCTCTGGAGTGATGAATCGCACTTCACTATCTGGCAGTCTGATGGATGAATCTGGGTTTGGTGGATACCAGAAGAACATTACCTAACAGAATGCACAGGTACAACAGTAAAGTTTGGTGGAGGAGGGATAATGGGCCAGGGCTGTTTTTCAGGCCTCTTAGTTCCAGTCAAGGGTGATGTTGATGCTACAGCATACAAAAACAATTATGCTTCCAGCTTTGTGTCAGCAGTTTGGGGAAGAGCCTTTTCTGTTCCAGCATGACTGTGTATGAGTGCAAAAAGTGAGTTCTAAAAAGACGTGAATTGACCAGTTTGGTGCGGAGGAGCTCAAGTGGCCTGCACAGAGCCCTGACCTCGACCCCACTGAAAACCTTTTGGATAAACTGGAACGGCAATCTCGAGCCAGTCCCTCTCGTCCATCATCAGTGTCTGACCTCACCAATGCTCTTTTGACTGAATGGGCACAAATTCCCACAAACACACTTCAAAATCTTGTGGAAAGCTTCCCGGAAGAGTGGCGGCTGTTGTAGCTGCAAAGGGGAAAATTGTATATTAATGGCTATGGTTTTGGAATGGGATGTCCAACAAGTCCACATACTTTTGGCCATCTAGTGTGTGTGCATGTGTGTACATATATATATATAAGCAATAGAACACGAGAGGGAGTGTGTTATCGTGTTTGGTCGCCGTAGATCATCGCAGCCGTGATGTTATTGGTGATAACACACTCCTCAAGTGTTCTATCGCTTTTACACAACAGTTAAATAAATAAAGTAAGAAATTAATAAACTGGGCCGTGAACGCGGCGTTTAATATAATATAATATTATGATATTATATTCTAATATTTATTTAATGTTCAGAGTTCCTTCACCAAATTATAGTTCCTTAACAAGCAGCTTGTTGCTACGTCAGAGTAACGAGCTCCGCCCACTCGCTGCACAGCCGGCAGTTCTTTCTCCAGCTCCACACAGACCAACAGACAGTTTGGGAATTTAGTGTCGTCTCATCTTCAGAGTCTGACCAAATCGGCTGTCGGTCAAATGTGATCTTAAAAATGTCCATTTTCTGTTTGTTCAAAAGTAAGAAGTAAAAACGGTTCAAATGGCTTGAGCGTCTCTTACAGCTGTCAAAGTCGTTGCTTAGCAAAAAAACGTGATGTTATGGTGAAATAACAGCACGGTTAGAATGCTTTTCAACCAATCAGCTTGCATGGCCGGAACTAACTGTTGTATAAATATATACATACATATATATGTGTGTAGTGTACATAAGAATGGCAGTGAGAGCTACAATACAACATCGATGTGGAGTATTAAAAATACTGACTAGAGGAGTAGTGGAGTGAGTTGCATGCAACTTTGTTTTTTAATTGCTTTGTGTAACTGTCACTATGTTGCAGGCAACTCACTACATGCAATAAGTTGCATGAGAGTTTCCTTTTGTAAATCCAGCCGAGAATGCTTTTCCACACTTTTATAACAAGACATTTAAAAGTTTAATAAACCACTTTCAAACAGCAAAATATATTATACAGTGTTTGGTTTCAGTTGGGCTGATAATGCTGCACTTTGGTGTGGTTTACAGTGGAACTGATGTACACATTTAAATTAAACCACTTTTTTCACTGTAGCAGGCAATTCAGAACATAACATCACACAAAGCTGCAGGACACCAAACCACACACACTACTTTGAAACAGGACATGATTAAGGTGTTAACAAGGCTCCACTGTGCTGTTAATTCCTGTTTATGTATGTACAGAAGTCTCACGCAGCTCAATGGAGAGATGAAAAATGGGTCGATGTTTAATTAGAATAGTGACAGAACCAGAATATCGTTGCTGTCGGAGGAAAAGTTTGTATTTCCAAAACTTTAGAGGAGAAAAAAAAACTCTTAACTTTCAATGAAAGTTAATGTAAGTTAATTTTTGCCAAGTAATTATGGAACATTTCTACAGGTTTGTTCACCATGGAATTTCTCATAAACAGCTGGAGTTTTTAAAGTAGGCAACAAAGTAAAAGCAACATGATATTATGTCTCTACAGTGACGATATGCTTAATGAAGTATTACAACAATAATCATTATTATCATCATCGTAATTTAACAAACAAGTAACAAGACCAAACATCATGTCAAAATTCTGTGAACATGCTATATGACAGACACATTTAAATAATTTATTAAAGCCAAAAAGTCTTAAAAAGTAATTTGAATTTTATGGATTTGAGCACTACTTGCTTGATTTTTCATGAACACTGTGCTGATAAGTGGACAATTTGCGAGCAATAACATTATTGCTTGAGGGATACAGGCTGGTTCCCTCATCATAATCTTATATTGACCTGTACACTGTCAATGTAAGAAGCCAATAAATGAAAAACTAATTATGTTTTTTTTTTCTTGGTTTGGCTTTTGCCTTTGAACTTAAACAAGACAAAGGAAACTGAAACTACGCCTCTAACACCTCAATAAAACAGTCAGTAGCACTTTAGAGCAAAGCTGGTGGAGGACAGCAGTCGGGCACACTGTAGTTCAAATCAAGGTAAATAAGGACTTTAACATGGAGCTAAAGACCAGGATGCTGAGACCACCGCTCACTGTAATGCTCGGTAAATTTCAGTTTGAACTTTGTTTCATATGTATTTCATAGCAATATTAATAATGTTAATTAAGTACCTTGCTGATTAGTGCATAGTTGTTTTTGTTTTTGCTTGCTTGTTTGTTTGGGGTTGGGGGGCTGAACCCCATTCCCACTTGAATAGCTATGCATTAGAACTTTACGACAAGGTTTTGACCACTGTGCAAAAGTCTTTGGTATCCAAGCATGTTGTTCGAGACTATTTATCTCAGAAATACATTTCTTTTTGCTTTTTGCTTGAAAAAATCTTTAGAATAAATACAAACAAATCGCAATGCTGTAAAATTTAACAAAAAATTCTTATTTTTGCACAAGTTGTTCATATGTTTTAAGTTAGTGCAAAGAACAAAATTTGGTTCTAGATTTCTTCTGGATCCCTCCAGTCATAACATGGATTTATTAAATTCTATAAGCTGCGCCTGATTTAACATAGTGAAGTATTGATTAGATCATGACACCTACAAATAATACTGGACTTCTTTGAGGAGAGGGCAGCAAATAGTTAAATAAACACACTGACACACTCAAAATCACTTATTGTATTAATATTATTTACATTCATTGTAATATTCATGTTTTTCTTAGCAAATAAATGCTTACTGTACAAAAAAAGAGCTTTTTAAATATAATTTTCTCAAAGATTTTTGCACAGTACTGTAGATATGCTGTATTTTGAAATATTAAAATAGTGAATATTAGTGAATAAATGAGATGGTAGCTTTGAATCTTACATTGTTGTTTGGTATAACACTGCACCCTTTAGTTAAGGTGAACACAGGGTTTGAATTGAGAGGGGTTGAGGAGGTCCTGGACCCCCTATAAGAGTGTAGGGGCCCCCTATAATAGAGAAAAATGAAACTTTATTTTCTTGAACATAACACAAATTAATGAATGCCCTCACATGAGGAGTGAGTCCTCGATAAGCTTTTATCATGTTCAACGTTAGACTCCCAGATACACTATAAACGCACCCAGCCTGAAATCTGTACAGTGTAATTCACAGAACTGTGTCACTCTGGTTTAAAACTGGAGAACATTAAAGCTCGAGGTTAAACTGGCAAGAAACATTTGATAGCAACAGCCATGAGGACCCACAGACATACGCCATCAAATATGTGCTTGTTATTAAAGAGTTAGGCTGTATGACAACATGCAGTGGAGAACGTTAGTTGTAACAGTGTGTTAAACTGTCTTGCAGCTTATGTTATATCTGAAACACAAAACCTGGGAGTTATTATTGACCTGAACCACATTTAGAGTGTAACTTAAACAATGTTTTTCAGGCCTTAACTCACACCACACAATGGTAATCAGCTGACCCTCATTTGTCAGGTCGTAATAGATGCTCAATGGTTTACCCAAAAAGATTATAGACAAACTTTTACATGCACAGAAGTTCTTACATGGAAAAATGAACATACTTAGGGTGATGAGATTTTCATCGCTGAAATACTGGACACTGTGTGTACTGTATGTTTGACATTATATGGATATAAAATCCAGACCACGTACACTGCTGCTGTTCAGAGACATTAGTTTGTTTCTTACTCACAGTTAGCTGGAGGTGCTGGGCTGTTCTTCATGTGAAGCAGCCGAGGTGTCAGGTTTGAGGCAGTTTTTTACAGGGTGCTTTTGTCCTTCAGTAATTTCTCATAGAATTCGCTGCACTTCATTCCAAAATGTACTCAAACAAAAAGGCTGGCCTTCATTGTTTTGTTAAGTGTTCCAGTCAAGACCACTAGATGTACATGTGAGTCATGACCAAGACTTTTAGAAGTCGAGTCCCAGTCAAGACAGAGACCAGGATTGGCAGAGGCTGAGACAAGGCCAAGACCAGATAAAAAAAAATGTCGAATTAAATTCTTTTGTTGGTAATTGTACATTTATTATTGTTACCTATATATTATATAATATTATATTATATTATATTATAAAATATAACATTAAATATTTAGCCTTAAACATTATTACAGTGTCTGTTATGTATTATAGTAACAATGATTGTTGTAGCAAAACGTTGATGACATTACATGGCCAAGCAAAATAGGGAAAATAACTAAAAATACAGCAGAGAATACACACACACACACACACACACACACACACACACACACACGCACACGTCAACTAAACCGCTTATCCTTCTGGGTCACAGTGGGGTGCTGGAGCCTATCCCAGCTGTCATTGGGCAGAAGGCAGGATAAACCCTGGACAGGTCGCCAGTCCATCGCAGGGCAGACAGACAGACATACACATTCACACACACACACTCACTCCTAGGGGCAATTTCAGCAGAGAATAGTCAAAGATTAACTACAATCAATGATGTTCCATCAACAGATTTGTAATCAATGTAATATTAACAGTAAACTACAGCTCTCAGCAACATTATTATTCTTTTGATGCTGGTAACATTTTCTGGTTAGGAATCTCATCTTAAATGGTGCCTGAGTTCCTGAAGGCACCAGAATAGAACTGCTCTATACAAGTACACAGTGAAACGAAACAACATTCCTCCAGAATCAACATAGGAACACAAGTGCAAGACAATACAGTACAATAAATAAATACGAAAGAAAGTTTTCTTTATTACTCGTTCTAAATCGAGATTGAAACTTTCAGTTCGTTTGTTTACCTGCTTCTGCTACTTCTCTCTGTATCTTAGCAATGTATTTCAGCTGAGGCACAGCGCGAAAAGCAGCAGAGCGCAAGGTTTTGTAAACAGAAAAAGGACTGTTTATTCTGTTTTTTTTTCTGGTTTTATTGATATTCAGTAATAATTCAGCTTACAGTTACTCATCAACAATTTCCAAGTTCACCTTACCCTGAGACCAAGACAAGAGTCCTAATGAGGTTGAGACTGAGACGAGACAGAGACCACTCGTTTATGGTCTTGAGACCAAGACCAGACTTGAGCACTACAACACTACAACCTTAGTCCATCAAACAACAGCAAATTCTCTCCAGAGCTGGCCCTAAAGAGAGAAACTGTATGCTGCCAGATTTTTTTCAAGCAATTGTGGAGCAGTTCTGTAGGTCCATACATTGTGAAATTTAAAATATATAGGCCAGCTAGTATCATGTCAAAAATAGAAAATTCTAAAAAAGAGAAAATGGAGATTTTGTCCCAGCGGCAATGATATGCTTTACAGCTGCTGTATCTCAACATATAAAAGGTGTACTATGGAAGTATGTTGGCATGGGTGCTGTATTTTAAAATTTCTTTATTACCAAATTTTGAAAATGCATATTCCACTTTTTGGAATGAAATTTGTCACATATCAGACTTCTATTAGATGTTCATTTAAGGCTTGCTGAATTCTTGTTGGTTTATTACCATATTAGTCCAACATGTATTTTTTAGGTTTTATGTCATTTAGTTGTGTCTCTTACTTTGACAACTTGTTCCACCTATAAAATGTCTTGTTTCTTCACTATTTTGCTTCAAGCCTAAAGACAAGTACTTGTTTTAAATAGTGACGCCTAGACACAGATGAAAAACTCATGCCTCAAAAACTCTACAGAAAAACCTGGCAAGCTTGAAGATTAAACAGGAAATTTCAATAATCTGAATGTGTAGTCTAGAAAGTTTAGCACGTTTGAATACAGATCATTTACTCTGCAACTATCAACTATTACTTTTTACACATAACCCTGAACACGGCTGCGTGAGAGCTTTTACCCACAGCCGTTTCCTTACTACACAGGAAATGTGAACTTTAACTGCAGATTAAAGATACAACATCGGTAAATCATCTAGACAACACTTAAGTCACTAACTAGTCCTTTCCTATCATAGGTGGAGATTTATGTTCTCTTTATTTGCGCATCAATCGTGGCAATAGTGGAACCCTTTTGTTGCTTTTTAAAAGGTTGGTCTAAGAACCACATAAAACATTTTCTCTATCCTACAGAAGAACCGCTCCATTGTTGTTTTCTCTACAGTGACTCTGGTCTCCTTGTTGGTACATACACCGATCAGGCATAACATTACATTGCTGGTACGAGTGGATCAGACACTGTGTCCACTCACTGTCCACTCTATTAGACACTCCTACCTTGTCAGTCCACCTTGTAGATGTAAAGTCAGAGACGATAGCTCATCTGCTGCTGCACAGTTTGTGTTGGTCATCCTCTAGTCCTTCATCAGTGGTCACAGGACGCTGCCCACAGGACGCTGTTGGCTGGATATTTTTGGTTGGTGGACTATTCTCAGTCCAGCAGTGACACTGAGGTGTTTAAAAACTCCAGCAGCACTGCTGTGTCTGATCCACTCATATCAGCGCAACACACACTAACACACCACCACCACGTCAGTGTTACTGCAGCCCTGAGAAGGATCCACCACCCAAATAGTACCTGCTCTGTGAGGGTCCATGGGGGTCCTGACCACTGAAGAACAGGGTAAAAGGGGGCTAACAAAGTATCAGAGAGACAGGTGGACTACAGTCTGTAACTGTAGAACTACAAAGTGCACCTATATAGTAAGTGGAGCTGATAAAATGGACAATGAATGTAGAAAGAAGGAGGTGGTCATAATCCTATGACTGATTGGTGTGTGTGTCTCTAGCAGCCAAAATGATCTCTAATTCAGCCAGACTGATTAATGAAAATGACCTTCATAGCCCCTGTCCCTGTGGAGGAGGTTTCTGAACACATCCTTGAACATGTAAAACGTGAATATTTCAGACTTTCCTCACATCACTTTGGTAACTGGAAAATGCCTTGGAGAAAAGGATTAACAAAAGTCCATCTTAGAAATAATCCAATGACATTTTAATGATGTATTACTATCTCTAATTATGTGTTTAACAGCTATGAATTATTATATATATTTTTTTTTCAGTTTCCAGTCTTCTTAGTGCTTCCCTGTCTGGTAAGTGTCCTTTTCACTGAATAAAAATGGATTTAATATATTTGATATACCAGCAGAGCTTTACACTCTTAAAAGTAAAGGTTGCTACACTTGGCTTGGATATAAGTGAATGCTTTAATTGAGACTTCTTTAAAGTTTTAGAAGGTTCTTTACACATTTCATTTACAATGGTAGTTATGGAACCAGCAGTGGTTCTTCAACAGCATAGCGCCAAGGAACCATTTTGGCACCTTTGTTTTAAGGAAAGCATCTTTTAGGGAACACATCTATAAAAATATGTCATATATAATTATTATATAGTAATAATTAATTATTGTATAATTATTATGTGTGATAAAGCCTGTCTTTTCTCCCTTTGCAACAGATTCTGTAAACATAAGACTTGTCAGTGGCATTGGCACCTGCTCTGGTAGAGTGGAGGTCAATGTTAACGGCCAGTGGGGAACAGTGTGTAATGATGGCTGGGTCATGACTCATGCAGAGTCCGTGTGCAGAAAGCTGGGGTGTGGCAATGCAATCAGCGTCCATAGCAGTGCCAGCATCAGTAAGGGAAGTGGGCCCATACAGTGGGCCCGTAATGTTAGTTGTTCCGGAACAGAACACATCACCACAGAATGCTTTCAAAAACACAACTGCAGTCATGGTGAAGATGCTGGTGTTACTTGCTCAGGTATGGAAAATCTCTCTAATCTCATTCAATTTAGCAGTCTATAATTAAATGCACATGTCAATACCAAATAAAGGAAACCGGAAAGAATGTGCCAACTGATGGATACCTGAGCCAAGTATAGTGAGTATCAGAATTTTGCCCATTCTTGCTTCATACAAGACTTCAGCTGCTCAGCAGTCCACGGTCATCATTGTCTGATTCTCCTCTTCATGATGTGCCATATATTTTCATTAAAAGACAGGTCTGGACGGCAGGCAGACCTGTCATACAACATACTTGGAACCAGACTTTTTTCCAAGTAATTTTGGGCTGTTTCTTTTGGTCCATTCATCATGAAATTTAGAAAAAATGTAAAGGGCAACAGACATTTTCCAATTATGTCAAAAACTGAAAATCGGCAAAAATGGAGATTTGCCTGATATGCCTCGACATCAATGGAACCTTTGGGCATATGCAAGTCACCTATGCCATTTTTTGGCACCTTTTGCTAATAAAAGTCTGCATGGTCCTTGTCGTCTATGACAAAAACTCCATGTCCATTTTTCCCAAAAACAAGCTCAAATGTGACCACTGACCACATCTGACCACAGCACACATTTCCACGGTCTTTGTGACCATGTGAGATGAGCTTCGGCCCAGAATTTGGCAGCATGTCTGCATAGAATTGCTGTATGTCTTTCTCCTTGCGTTATGGAGTTTCAGTTTGCATTTCTTGATGCAGCACCAGGCTGTGTTAAATGACAACAGTTCTCTCCTGAGCCCATGTGACTGTATTAAACACAGTAGCATGACGGTCGAAGGTCAAAAGTCATGCACATTCAACAGTGGTTTCCTGCCTTGTCCTACACAGGCAGCGATTTCTCTGGATTCTCTGAATCCTTTCACAATGTTATGTACAGTAGATGGTGAAAGTCTAAAATAAAATTCTTGCATTTTTATGTATATATATATATATATATGTTTAAATAAATATGTTTTTTGGGATTTTTACCCAATTTTCTCCTCAATTTAGTCATTTCCAATTCCACCCGCTAGTTAGGACTCTCCCAATCACACGATACTACCAACGCTAGGAGGGCGAAGGCTAACACAGGCTTCCTCCAAGACCTGTGAAACCAACCACAACATCTTTTTGAACTGCAGCTTACGCAACGTCATTGGACAGCCGAATACGCTCGGAGGAAAGCGCCAACTGCCAGATCTGTTATGTCAGCTAACAGACGCCTGCACTGACTGCCACAACCCAATGTTTACTTACAAAAGACTGTTACCAATTCTCCTGCTTATTGTAGAACATTGTCTAAACAGTGTAACTTGAATATTCTATAAAATTTTCACACCTATTTTGCTCCTGTGCCCTGTGGAATTGCAGGCAACACATTCAATATTCGTTTATATTTACAAAATACAATCAAGGTGATCAGACAAAACATCAAACATCTTACTTTTGCCAGGTAAAAAAGAGAACTAACAAAAACTGCATTTTACAAAATGTCCCAACTTTTTCCGGAAGTGGAGTTTGTGGAAAACTGAGAGCAGAGCTGGGGCAGAGCGATTACAGAACACTTTAAGCTCCACTCCACCCACGTGCTCTGATTGTCACTATCTTTCCAAGAGCCAATTAAATTGAGTTACTCTTTCATTATCAGATGCACATTCCCAGGGACTCACCTGAGGATGTGCCTGGAAGCACTGATCACATACAGCTGTATGCAAATTAAAAAAAAAAAATATTTAAAAACTATTGCTGGTGGGACAAAACCTGATATCTCCATATAAATAACTTAAAAGGAGAAAGAAAAAAAAAGTTAACTTTCATCATAATTTAGAGATTCAATTCAAAATAATACTGAACCAATTTTTTGGTCCATTCATCATGATCTGTTGAAACAGTCTAAATAGCAGCTGACATTTTCTAATAGAATAAATAAATAAATAAATAAATAAAGTAAGTTACAAGGTTTGAATTCTGGCAGTGGTGATATGACAGTTTTATAAATGACATCAAATTTTTAGTAAATCTGGTCCTTCACATTTTTTTGCAGGTTGCCAGTTCATACCCACTTTACATCCAAGCTAATAACCATTTAGGAATCTTTCTTTTTGTGTGCATACATGTTTTCTATATCTTTATATTGTAAAGCACAAAGTATGAGGCTGCTGAAAGGCATGAATTCCTGTAGTGGTAGAGTGCAGTTCTATCATAAAGGCCAGTGGTGAACAGTATGTGATGATGGTTGAGACATGAATGCAGCTGTGGTGTGCAGAGAGCTGGGATGTTGCAAAGCAGCCAGCGCCCTTCATAACACCAGCCTTGAACAGGGACGTCACTTGATATCTGGGTAATATTGTTTTGGAGGACAAAGCGCCATCCCAGAACACCGTTATAGGTTATCTGGATCTCATAATTGTATTCATGGCAAATACGCTGGTGTTGGCAAATGAATACTCTTGTATGTTACAGAATTACGGAAAATGCATTATTGTTCTGAACTTATTTCTTTACTGGATGACCTGCAGAGCCCCATGCTCTCCCTGATCTCATTACACTGTGCTGTATCTACTGAGGAAGCTGTTCAGTTCAAATGTAGGAAAACCAACATAAAAGTGTCTTTGGCCACAACAAGCTGTGAGAACAGCATCAACACGCTGTTCCTCACACTGTAAGCTGTTCCTGCCACACCTGCTCAGGGGGCTTTATAAGGGCTGAGAAGAAGACACACTTTGCTGAGTCTTTGGTTCAGTTCTGGCAAACAGACCGGCCGGTAATCTCGAGTAGAAGCTCTAGAGAATTTCCCTCGAGCTTCTTTTCTCTTTGTCACTTCTCGAGCCTATCCCCTTTTCTCGAGTTGTGTCTTTCTTCCTTAAAAAAAAAAAAAAAAAAAGAACTAAATCTAAAGCTAGAGAAGGGACAAGTTTGCCCCTTTCTCCTTTTCATTTTCCTTTGTGCATTCTTTTCTGTTGGGAGAGTTATCATTTCCTCCGTGTTTGAGAGAGACAGTCTTTCCCCTGGCGTCCTTTGTTTTGTTCCCGCCTAAGCCTTAGCAGGTGGGCTTTCATACGTCCTTTTGTTTTCCACCCGTTTCCGGCGTTCCCTTTTAAGGTGAACCCTCCCTGTACCACGTGACACGGCCTCCATTGTGCAGTGGTCGAGCGCCGGTTTATTAGCGTGGTGGCGTGGGTTCGAGCCCCGGCATCCGCGGTCATATATGTATTATTTTAACAATACCTTCCAATCGCATAGAAGCTCAGCGTTTGGGTCCTGCCTTCCAAAACCCTGTGGTGGCTCACCCAGTTGGCATCTGAAATACCGCCCCGATGGCCTCGGTTCTAACCCCCACCTCTGGCAAGCCGCCACATTACAGTTACAAAGATTCTACCAGCCTTTGGAACTGTACTGGAACACCATTCTCCCTAAAGATATTCCCTCAATTTGTCTTTTGATGGTGGTAAAGAGCTTTGTCTAACACACCACTCCAGGGTCTCCCATAGCTGTTCAACTGGGTGGAGATCTGATGACTGAAGGCCATAGCATATGATGTACACCATTTTCATCCTGCCACACCTGATCCAGCTTATTAACTTCTTTATAGGTCCTTAATTGGCTGTATCAGATGCATTAGTGTGAGGTAAGGAAAGGGGTTGAATGATAGATGCCATTTGGAACTAAACTATGAAGAAAAGTAGATATCTAGGTGGTGGGTTGTTGATCACTAGTCTAAGGGGACCAGTGTCCAGCAGAATGCTCTGCCAAACCCCAAACTGTAGGGGTCAAGCAGTGCTGATGGTTTTTTACACCCATGACCTCTCAGACAGTCATTTGTTTTTGTAATGTACAACCCTTTTTCCAAAAAAGTTGGGATGCTGTGAAAAAGTAAATAAAAACAAAATGCAAATGAGGTGCAAATCATGTAAACCCTACATTTCACAGGGACAACAAAAGGCTGGTTAAGATGTGTAAAGCGTTCACCACTCTGTGAAAGACTGCATGATCAAATAGTGCAACAATTCAAGAATAACGTTTCTCAATGTAAAATAGCAAAGAACTTTTGCTTTTCATCATCTATGGTATATAATATCATTAAAAGATTCACAGAATCTGGAGAAATCTCTGTAAGGGACAAGGCCAAAAACCAGTATTGGCTGGCCGTGATCTTTGAGCCCTCAGGTGGCACTGCATTAAAAACAGACGATTCTCTATAGGAAATCACTGCATGGGCTCAGAAACACTGAAACCACTGTCTGTGAACACAGTTTGGTGCTGCATCCACAAATGCAAGTTAAAACTCTAAAACAAAAAGAAGAGACCACACATAAACAGGATCCAGAAATGCTGCCACCTTCTCTGGGCCCAAGCTCATTTAAAATGGACAGAAGAGAAGTGGAAAAATGTCCTGTGGTCCGACGTATCAGCATTTGAATTTCTTTTTGGAAATCATGGACACTGTATCCTCTGGGCACATGGCATGGGTGGCTGACACATTTGTGAAGGTACCATTAATGCTGAACGATATATACATGTTTTGGCAACATATGCTGCCATCCAGACGACGTCTTTTTCAGGGAAGGCCTTGATTATTTCAGCAAGACAATATCAAACCACATTCTGCATGTATTACAACAGCATTGCTCCATAATAAAACAGTCCAGGCGCTAAACTGACCTGCCTGCAGTCCAGACCTGTCACCACTGAAAACATTTGGCACATTATGAAATGAAGAATATGACAAAGGAGACCCCGAACTGTTGTGCAGCAAAAATCCTATGTTAAGCAGAAATGGAAAAACATTTCACTTTCAAAACTACAGCAGTGTCTCTTTGGTTCCCAAACACTAACAGAGTGTTATTAAAAGAAGAGGTGATGAAACACAGTGGTAAACAGGCCCCCGTCCCAACTTTTTTGGAATGTGTTGTTGGCATCAAATTCAAAATGATCTCATAAATGAAATTTCTCAGTTGCAACATTTGATTTGTTGTCTACTATTTTCAATGATTTGCACATCATTGAATTTTGTTTTTATTTGCATTTTGCACAGCATCCCAACTTTTTTGGAAATGGGGTT